TGGAGGCTCACATCTATAATCCCAGCACTTTGGGAGGCTTAGGTAGAAGGATCCCTTGAGTCCAGGAGTTTGAGACCAACCTCGGCAATATAGCAAGACCCCATCTCTACAAACAATACAAGAAAACATTAGCTGGGCATGGTGTCATGTGTCTGTAGTCCCAGCTACTCAGGAGGCCAAGGTGGGTAGACTGCTTGAGCCTGGGAACTCAAGGCTGCACTGAGCTATGATGGCACCACTGCACTCAGCCTGGGCGATAAAGTGAGACCCTGTCTCAAAAAAAAGAAAAGAAAATCCCTCTTAATCCATGTTTCCTCGTAAGCAATTTTACCTACCTCCATCTAATTCATAGTTGGTTCACCAATGGGAGCCAGTCCACAAACTATTACTGGTCTACAGTAACATAAATATGGAACTGAGAGAAAAAGTAATAAATGATGTTTACAGCAATTAGATATGGTCACAACATCCAAGCACATGATCGTACGCTCATCTCATTGCACAGGATGTGAACAAGTTTGGGGCTGCTGCATCACAAGGCGAATTGCCTGTGGTGTGAGTTGCATGCTGACCACATGTCATGAACCATGTCTTAGTCCCGAGGGTTCAACATTTGAAATCGGATTCTTCCTCACAGAGTTGAGAAGCCCTGGTGTATACCTCAGGTCCTCCCAGACTCTTAGGAGGACTTGGGAACTCAAGAGCCAGGGTAACTCATTTCTGCTATTCCTTCTTTCCACCTTGCTATGTCCTAGCTTAGGGCCATGATCCACAATAGGACTGTCTGGGAGGAAGAATCCCAAAGCAGTGTCTCAAAACATCGCCCTGACAGATTTGCCTTCTCACCTGAATCCTGGGCTCACCTCCCACCTCTCACACGTGATGACATGAGGAATACCTGGTGCAGGAAGAAAGACAGACATCTGACTGTCCACTTCGGACCACTACCCCGGGAGCACTTCCTCAGCACAGAAGTTGAGAAATTTCCAGAAAACATACACATCCTCAGCATTTTCTTGAGTGTCTGTTCATTAAATATATCCATATAGATAGGATTTTTCAGTGGTCGAATCCACCATGTAAAATGGGATCTGGAATTGAACAGGCCCCTCTGGAGTGCCCCCTTGGATTGCACAGCTAGGGCTGAGTTTGCAGGGGGTTCACCCCGGTATCACAGGCAGGTGCTGGCTCTTCTATGCGATTATCTCCAGTTGTTGGGAAAACAGGAAGGTATGGCAAGAGGCTCCGGGATCAGTGCAGAAAACATGCTCACTTCCCAAGGTACACGTAGCTGCTCTCCTGGCAGCTGTAATAATGGAGGATGGATCTTTCAAACTGAAAATATTTTGAAGATCCCAAGTCCCACCCAGATTCTGAGCAACTCTGGCACACGAGCTGTTCTGTGATCTCAGATCTCAGGGGTTCACGTTGCCTGGGAGGACTAGGCCCAGCTTGTCTTCTCTCCAACCAGAAGAGCCTTCTGCAGTGAATCTCAGCAGCCTGGTTAACATTGGGTTATGATATTGCCAACATAATGAAAGAAAAAGGGGGAAAGGGGCATGAGTCGGTGCCAAAGTAGGAGGGAATTATTCCCTGAACTCCTGAGTGGGGCTGAGGGCAGCTGTGAAACTCAGATACAGTCTCTTCTCTCAGGCCTCGAGGTGTGGGGTGCCCAGGAGTGTGGCAGAAGGAGGGGGTTCTGATCTTTCTGGGCCTCTCTGTGCCCCTCCTTTCGCTGCCAAAGCCTGAGAGACAGGCCGTGGGGATACTGTGGGGAGGTAGTGGGAGCAGCAGTTTTGTTTTCTAAATTAAGGTAAAATTTCCATAACACAGAATTAACCATTAACCATTTTAAAGTATATAATTCAGTGGCGTCTAGTGCATTCATGATGTTGTGAATTCCAACACATTTTCATCACCCCTAACGGAAACATCATACCCCATCCTCTGGTCCTGGCAATCACAAACTTACTTTTTTGCCCCTGTAGATTATCTTATTCTGGATACTTTATATGAATACAAATCCTTCAATATATGGCCTTTTATGTCTGGCTTATTTTATTTGGCATAATGTTTTTTGGGGTGTGTGTGTGCGTGTGTGTTCTGAGACAGGAGAATAGGGTCTGGAGGCAGAGAACCTAAGGCCAATTCACACTGACTTCCTAGAACTGTATCAAAAAGAAAACCCCACCTTTGCACACCCAAGTAACAAAAGAATCAGAGGCTACTCCGTTTGCGACCCGTTGCCCCTTTACCACTGTGTTGCAGATGAAAAGGGGAAAGTACCTCTGATTTGTCACCACCTATGACCAATCAGACTGACTGTGGCCCAAGTCTTCATTTGCATAGGGTATAACTTTGTCACTTTAGCCTCTGATCCTTCCTTGCAACCAATAGTCTGGCTATGGGCCAAGTCTTCATTTACATAGGGCATAACCAGGTAACCAATGGGAAACCTCTAAAGGGTATCTAAACCCCAGAAAACTCTGTAACCAGGGCTCCTGAGCCCGCTCCCACTCTGTGGACTGTAATTTTGTTTCAATACATCTGTGCTTTTGTTGCTTCATTCTTTCATTGCTTTTTTGTGTGTTTTGTCCAATCCTTTGTTCAAAACACCAAGAACCTGGGTGACTAATAATCAAGACCCTCTACCAGTAACAACAGGGTCTCATTCTCATTGCCCAGGCTGGAGTGCAGTGGCACGATCTAGGCTCACTACAGCTTCAACTTCCCAGGCTCAGATGATTCTCCTACCTTAGCCTCCAGAATAGCTGGGACTACAAGTGTGCACCACCATGCCCAGTTAATTTTTTTGTATTTTTAGTAGAGATGGGATTTCAACATGTTGCCCAGGCTGATCTCCAGCTCCTGGTCTCAATCAATCCACCCTCTTCAGCCTCCCAAAGTGCTGGGATTACAGGTGTGAGCCACCATGCCCAGCCTTATTTGGCACAATGCGTTCAAGGGTCATCCATGCTGTACGTAGCATGTATCAGAATTTCGTTCCTCTTTATGGCTGAATAATATTCTGTCGTATGGCTGGACCACATTTTGTTTATCCGTTCAGCCATTAATGGACACTTGAGTCATTTCCACCTTTCAGCCATTGTGAGTAGTGCTCCTATGAACTTTTGTATACAAGTTTTTGCTTATATACTGGTTTTCAGTTCTTTTGGGTATAAACGCAGAAGTACAATTGCTGAGTCATATGGTAATTTTGCGTGTACCTTTTTGTGGAATCATCCAATATTTTCCACAGCTTTTTATGCACCATTTTATATTCTGCCAGTGTGTATGAATGTTCCCATTTCTCCACATCCTCACCAATACTTTTCTCTTTTTCTTTTTCTTTTTCTATTTTTATTATGGCCAACCTAGTGAGTGTGAAGGAGGAGCCGTTTTCAGCTCAGATGCTCATAATGGGTCATGAGACCTTGCCCACTCTGAGTTTCTATAAACTGAAGGACAATGCCCATCTTAGAGAGTAGACATCAGTGTCACACAAGTCGCTGTACATAGATAGCATCCCCAGCACAGCGTCCAACATGAGAGACACTGTTCACTGGGATACTGTATTAGTCTGTTCTCATGCTGCTAGTAAAGGCATACCTGAGACTGGGTCATTTATAAAGGAAAGAGATTTAATTGACGCACGTTCCACATGGCTATTGTTGGGGCCTCACAATCATGGTAGAAGGCAAAGGAGAAGCAAAGTCACATCTTACATGGCAGCAGGCAAGAGAGTGGATCTCATGGGACTTATTCACTATCATGAGAACAGCATGGGAAAGACCTGGCCCCATGATTCAGTTACGTCCCACCAGGTCCCTCCCATGACAAGTGGGAATTATGGGAGTTACAATTCAAGATGAGATTTAGGTGGGGACACAGCCAAACTATATCAGGTACCAAGGCCACCTTCAGGTACCATGTTACACAGTGGTTCTCATGCTCACTGTCATGAAGGACAAGCGTTTCTTCCCTCATTTAGTGTAAAACAAAATAAAAATGAATCACCAGAATATGTATTCTCAGTAGGGGTAATGTCATCCCAAAAGAGGAAAAAACGGCCCCTGGGGGTGGAGCAAAAACATCTATTCTTTTAGTATATGAAGTACAAATATGCATACCGTCCTGAAACAGATATACAGTCTAACTGTAATACTACAGTTTCATGGGGGGTGGGGCAATTAGGGAAGGAAAAAAACCCTAAAAAGGATCCTTGGAGAAGGGTGGCAATAATGAAAAAAAGACTGAATAACAATGAAGTTTAAAACAATTTAAATTTGTTTAATTTTTATTTTATAACTTTTTAATAAAAGCCTGATTTTTTTTTATTAGGCTTAGCAGGCATAAAGTACTGTGTTAAATTGCTCTGGAGGCTTCAATTTCTCTATTTATCTCAGACTGGATATAAACATAGTGGCTTTCAATTTCTCTATTTATCTCATCACAGACTGGTAATAAATGGTTTGTGGGCAGGCACCAATCTGCAGTCCACACTTCGGTAGTGCTGTGCAGAAGCATCACTACATCTTGGTCTTTCTGGCATTACCTCACTTCCTAATGTATCTGTTCATTTGGTTATTGTCTCTCTTACCTGAATGTCAGCATCAACACCATATCTAAAACAGGGCCTGCCACACTGATATTTGGCACATCACTAGGAAATAAATTGTTGAATACCTGAGGAAATGAATGAGCAAATGAATGAATGAATGAATATCCACTTAAAAACTGTTTTGCTGGCTGGGCATGGTGACTCACACCTGTAATCCGAGTACTGAGGGAGGCCAAGGTGGGTAGATTGCTTGAGCCCAGGAATTCAACACCAGCTTGGGCAACATGGCAAAACCCCATCTCTACAAAAACTTAGCCAGATATGGTGGCATGCTCCCATAGTCCCAGCTACTCAGGAGGCTAAGGCAGGAGGATCACCTGAGACTGGGAGGTCAAGGCTGCAATGAGCCGTGATCATGCCACTGCACTCCAGCCTAGGCAACTAAGTGAGACCTTGTCTCAAAAAAAAAAAAAAAAATTATTTTACTGAGTCAGGCATTGGAGGCTACTTTTACTTAAAACCCAGGAAAACCAATCAACCAAAAAAAGGTAGCAGTTCTCTGCCTTTGACAGTCTCAAAATTCATAACAATGTTTTCAACAAAAAAGAAGGGTATTTCTCTCTCACCCAAAAGTCCTAACTAATGTGGCTGTTGTGGTCTGCAAACGTGATGGGGGTCTAAGCTCCTTATGTCTTGTTGCTCAGCTGCATGATCCAAGATGGCCCCATTCCATGGAGAAAGAGAAGCTGCCCCTGTCCTTCAAAATTTACCCCTATCCCCTTGTCCAGAACTCATCATGTGGACACATTTAGCCATAGGGAAGCTGGGAATTGTAGTTTCTCTGATCAGCCATGTGCCCAGCTTAGAAACAGATTCTACGAATATGAGAGAGAAGAGATGAATCAATATTAGGGAACCCCCAGGAGACCTGGCACCATCACCTGAAGAGGATGTTTTTTTCATCTCATCCTTGCCTTCCCTCACAGAAGAAGGCAAGAGATCAGTGTTTCACATTCCAGCACCAAGCCAGGTCTGTTTGTCAAAACTCTCCAGAGACCACATCTTGTGGCACAAGACTTCTGGGGCCGTGATCTTTCTTCCTGGGTCCTCCCTGGCACAGGATGGATTTCTTACTGCAGGCACTCTGTGGCTGCCCGCACACTGCAGTTTGTTCAGCTGTCCATTCTTCAGCTGACTCTGGGTCACAAAATGAAAATAAACAAGAGCTTATTTTGGAGAAAGCATACCAAGGGATAAGACTATGGCCTATTTGTTTCCAAACCTGCCCTGAGTCATCATTCAGCAGGTTGCTACAAAAGAAAAGAGAAATCAGAAGAGAAAACACTGCAGCCAGAAGTTTTCTGAGACAGGTGGCTTCCTAAGCTTTTGCAAGTAGGGTCACCATGCTAACCAGAACCAAACAGACCTTGAATGGAATAGACTAACCTAGACCTGCTAAATGTCTGTAGGCAGGAGATTGAAGACAGAGTGGGATTCCCAGCCTGAAGTTTAAGCTGTGCTATAGTCACAAAAAATTTTGTTGACTGTGGTTAACAAAAATTTAATTGTACGTTTTCAAATAACTAGATGAGTATAATTAGATTGTTTATAACACAAAGGATAAACGCTTGAGGTGATGGATACCCCATTTACCCTGATGTGAGTGTTACACATTGCATGCCTCTATCAAAATAGCTCATGCAGCCCAGAAATATATATACCTACTATGTACCCACAAAAATTAAAACTTTTGTAATCAAATAAAATTTTTTTAATGAAACAAATGAACCAAATTGTATACAGCCACATAGAGAGGAACTGTCTTAAATGACTTTATGCATATTTTTTTTCTTTTCCTTCTTCTTTCTTCCTTCCTGATGTTTCTAGCTTTTGTATGATTTCCTTTCTATTTTAAGAACTTCTTATACCAATTCTTTCTGGGTAGATCTTCTGTAAAAAAAATTCTCTTGGATTTCCTTCATTTGAGAATGTCTTGATTTTCCCTTCATTCCTGAAGGATATTATCTTTGGATACAGCATTGTGAGTTGATGGTTCTTTTCCTTAAGCCCTTGAAAAATGTTGTGCCATTTCCTTCTGGCCTCCATGGTTCCCAGTGAAAAATCTTCTGTCATTCCTATTCTTTATCCTTTATTCTGGCATATTTTGTTTGACTGCATAAATGAATGAATAAAAGAATTAATCTCAGCTCCACAGCCTACCAGCTCTATGACTTAGGAAAAGTTCCATTCCTAAGCCTCAGTTTCTCTGTATAGAACATGGGAATAGCAACTATATACCTTCCTCTCAGGACCAATGTGAGGATTAAGTGCAGTAATATACAAAGTGCCTAATACCATGGTTGGTGCATAAAGCACTCAACAATCTCAAGGGAATGAATAAGTGAATGCATGCATGCATGAGTGAACTAATTAATGGCCTCAATGTGTTTTTGTAGAAAAACCATGTGCTGCCATGGAAAGACCCTGAGCTGGGAAGCAGGAGACAGGCTCATGGCCCTCTCTGCTGCTGAGACCAAAGCTCAGGATCAGCACTGTTTGCCTTCCCTCTTTGGGCCTCAGTCTCCCCATTTGTACCATAAAGAATTTGGCATGGACTATTAGTTCTCAATTCTTAGTGTGCACTAGAACCTTCCAGAAAGGTTTGTTGTTGTTGTTGTTGTTGTTGTTGTTGTTGTTGTTGTTTTCATATACTGATGCCTGGCCCAACTCTAGACTAACTCAAATCAGACTACCTGTGGGAAGGGCCCTCAGATTTTTTTTTTTTCAAGTTCTTTGGGAGATTCTGATGCAGAGCAAGGGTTAAAATCCTACGTTCCTAATGGATCCACCATCTTGGATAATTTTAGAGGTGTTATGGTTCCTTTATTATCCTCTTATCTTCTCCTGCCCCACCCCTGGAAAATAAGCTTCCTGGAGTCCCTCGTGCTCATTCCAGCCACTTTATAAAAAGCAGCCTTGGACTCTAGAAGCTTCTTGTTTGATGTAAGTCACCACTCATTTGAGCAGCCATTTATTTTCTAACCGGCAACTCGTGTGAATGTTTAGAGACGTGCCTTGAGTTGTTCCGGTCCCTGCGTCAGCACTTCATGCTCCTTTGGCAAATGCAAACTACTTTCCAGGCTTCCAGGTCCTGAAGCATCCAGCCCCAACTTTCGTATCTGACCTCATGTTCTAAAAGAAGTCTATTGATTCAATCCAAGTCCTACCAAAATCCCAGATGGCATTTAATAGAAACTGACATACAAACTAAGAGCCAAAACAACCTTGAAAAAGAACAGAGTTGGAGAACTTATACTACCTAACCTCAAACTCACCATAGGCCAGGTGCAGTGGCTCATGCCTGTAATCCCAGCACTTTGGGAGGCCAAGGCAGGTGGATCACCTGAGGTCAGGAGTTCAAGACCAGCCTGGCCAACATGGTGAAACCCTGTCTCTACTAAAAATACAAAAAATTACCTGAGCATAGGGGTGGGCGCCTGTAATCCCAACTACTTGGGAGGCTGAGGCAGGAGAATCTCTTGAACCCAGGAAGTGGAGGTTGCAATAAGCCAAGATCATGTCACTGCACTCCAGGCTGGGGGACAAGGGCAAGATTTCATCTTTAAAAAAAAAACAAAACGTAAAGCTTCAGTAATCAAGACAGGATGGAATTAGCATAGGATAGATATGTCAGTGAAACAGAATAAAGTCCAGAAAGAAGCCTTCTCATTTATGGTCAGTTTATCTTTGGCAAAGGTGCCAAGTCATTCAATGGGGGAGGAGATGGATACCCCCTTCTCCATGATGTGCTTATTTCATATTTCATGCCTGTATCAAAACATCTCATGTACCTCATAAATATATACACCTACTGGGTACCCACAAAAAATTTTTAAAATAATAATTCAGTGGAGGAAGGGATAGACTTTTTATAGTGGGTCCTGGAATAAGTGTGTGTGTGTGTATATATGAAAAGATTAAGCCTTTATTCCACACTGTACACAAAGATTAACTTAAATTGGATCATAGACCTAAATATAAGAGTTAATACTATAAAATTTCTAGAAGAAAACCTAAGAGCAGATCTTTGTGACCTTGAGTTAGGCAATGAAAGCAAAATCCAACAAAGAAAAAATTGACAACATATGATCTTTTTTTTTTTTTTTTTTTTTTTGAGACGGAGTTTCGCTCTTGTTACCCAGGCTGGAGTGCAATGGCGTGATCTCGACTCACCGCAACCTCCGCCTCCCGGGTTCAGGCAATTCTCCTGCCTCAGCCTCCTGAGTAGCTGGGATTACAGGCACGCACCACCATGCCCAGCTAATTTTTTGTATTTTTAGTAGAGACGGGGTTTCACCGTGTTGACCAGGATGGTCTCAATCTCTTGACCTCGTGATCCACCCGCCTCGGCCTCCCAAAGTGCTGGGATTATAGGCGTGAGCCACCGCGCCCGGCCAACATATGATCTTTTGCTCTTCAAAAGATACCATTAAGAAAAAGCTAAGCCACAAACTGGGAGATAATATTTACAAATCATGTATCTGATTAAGAACTTGGGTCCAAAATATCTAAAGAACTCTTGTAACAGTAATAAAAGGTCTTTTAACTTTTTAAAAAGATTTGACTAGGATTCCATAGGGAAAAGATTTGAGTAGATAATTCATCAAAGAAGATATGTGAATGGCTAAAAAGCACATGAAAAATGCCCAGCACCATTAGTCATTAGGGAAATGCTGCTTAAAGCCACAGTGAGATACAATCACATCCTCCCAAGTAGCTGGAATTGTAGGCATGCGCCATCGCACCTGGCTAATTTTTAAATTTTTTGTAGAGACGACATCTCACTATGTTGAACAGACTACTAAAGTGGCTATAATCAAGAAGACTGAAACTACCCAATGCTGGAGAATCTAGAACTCTCATGTATTCCTAGTAAGAAAGCAAATGGCACAGCCACTTTGGAAAACAGTTTGGCCATTTCTTTAAGTTAAACACTTAAATGACCAAATTCCTGGGCTCAAGTGATCCTCCCACCTCAGCCTCCCAAAGTGCTGGAATTACAGGCATGAGCCACCACACCTGGCCTCAAATTTTTTAAAAACATAATTTTCAAGGACCAGGATCTGAGTAGTGGGCACTATCTCATTTATTTCTCACCACAAGCCTTTGAAAAGGACAGCATTTATTTTCCTCATCTATTAAGGAAATTGAGGTTCAAAGAAATTTGGTAACTAAAGTCACAGGTTCCATCCCAGCCTGCGACCTCAAAGACCCCACCGTGCCATGGCATCCTCTTTGCATGTTCCTCTCTGACTGTAAGAAACCTGATCTGGCTCTTGCGTCTGGACCGCCAACATGCCATCTAGATGGAGGAACACCCAGAGACTTAGGGGCCACGTGAGCCACAGCCATGGCCACATCAGCAAGCACTCGGAAGCACCCAGGAGGCCGTGGTGATGCTGGCAGTAGGCATTGCCATAGGATTAGTGTCGACAACTATCACCTGGGTTGCTTTAGGAAGGCTGGTGTGAGGTATTACCACTGGGAACCAGAATTTCTGCCCAGCTGTTATCACCCCAAAGCCACATGGAGGGAGGTTCATGAAATGCTGACAACTGCTTTAAAAAAGAAAAAAAAAAGAAAGGGCCAGGTGTGATGGCTCACGCCTGCAATCCCAGCACTTTGGGAGGCCAAGGCAGGCAGATCATGAGATCAGGAGTTCAAGACCAGCCTGGCCAACATGATGAAATCCCATCTCTACTAAAGATATAAAAAATTAGCCAGGCATGGTGGCACGTGCCTATAACCCCAGCTACTCAGGAGGCTGAGGCAGGAGAATTGCTTGAACCTGGGAGGCAGAGGTTACATGCAGTGAGCCAAGATTGTGCCATTGCACTCCAGCTTGGGTGACAGGGTAAGATTCCATCTCAAAAAAAAAAAAAAAAAATAGAAACAAAGAAAAAGAAACCTAACCTGTACCCCGTTCCTCCTTCCCACAGGCACGACGGGGTTCTATCAAGGAGGAAACGGACTGGGCAACGCAGCCGGATTCGGGAGTGTGCACCAGGTAGACATGGCTTCCTCCCGGTTCTTTCCACAGTTCTTTCTGGAAATATTTCCCTTACATCAGGGCACCCAGAGAGCCCATGCACACACATGATCTTGACTAGGAACCTGCCTCTTATTACCTGGGTTTGGAGACTGCAGGGGCTAGATTGTGCAGAAGGCCACTGAAAGGATGCAGTATACAGGCAGAGACGTAGGAATTGTTAGAAGATTCCTGAGATGTCATGGAGATCTACACGTATGTTCCATCTTGACCTGGGCCCAAGACACCCATTGACTGTTGAATCTGGTATAAATCAATACAAATGGATGGGTTCTTTCACCAGACCGTGGGCTTCTCAAGGGGTACCATATCATATATCTTGTTCACCTCTGCATCGCTAGTGGTGAGAGCCCAGCACACAGTAGGGGCTTTATAAATGCTTGTTAAATTGAGCGAAGTCAACTCTCTAAAGGTGAATGTTGGCTAGCATTTTGATTCTCTTGGTGTTACTTACAAAGTGAATTAAGAATGGATCTGCTAAAGGTGTGCAGTAATTCTGCCGTGTGTATACCTCCCCTGTAAAGCTAAAATTATTTCAAAACAAAAGGTTCAACTTGCTTTCAGGTTACCATTAAAACAGAACCACCCTGAGGTAGATGGGCTTTAGGAATATTTAACATATTTAGATATGAGGAATATGCAATTTCTTTTCCAATGAGAATCTAAATAATTTAAAACTTAGCAAATGTAAAAATTGTTTCATGTATTTTTATATTATTCCTAATGTACAGTGTACATAGATAAAATGCTTGTAAATAAAACAGTCCTTTTTAAAGTGTACTTCTTAACCCTGGGTGTTTGTCCATTTCTCCGTTAAATCTATGTTTCTCAGAAACACTGACCGCCCCCTCCTCCGGGAACTCTGACTCCTAGCTCTGGGGTGAGGCCCAGGAAGCAGGACTTTCCATGAGTTCCGTGCAGGGCTGAGCAGCACCGGTTTGGTGATAGTGGGGCAGAATATTTGACACAATGACTACTGGAGAATTGGAATCACTGGTCCGTTTAAGCAAAGCCTGATCAAAGGTGATTGGCAGCTATTGAATTGATCTCCATGACTCTCTCATAGAATATTCTGGACCCCTAATGCTGAAGTGCTGTATTTGCACCTCCTCCCCATGAACATAAAATGTCACCTAGTCTCCTGGGTTTGTGTGTGTGTGTGATGTGTGTGTGTGGGGGGGGTGGTCTTAATTGTTAATGCATTTGTTTATTAATTGTTTTTATATATTAACATTTATTTATTGTTAATAAATTAATAATAAATTGTTGAGTTACTATATATACCAGGCACTGTTTCAGGTGCAGAAGATACAACAGTGACCAGGACAGGTACCGTCAGGGCCACATCTAGATCCCTGAGGGCCGCCTGTGGACCTCCAGGTGCCAGCATCCACATGCTGGGGCCCGAGCGGCTTTTCTAGAACCAGTGCATGGGGCAGGCAGGAAGTGCCTGGGAATTAAAGCCCCCTGGGAGCAGCTCTCAAAGACTGACAAGTTGATGTATAAACCCGTCCGCTCCCTTGACCCCTGGGAGAAGCAGTTCTGAGATGTGGATTTTAGACCATCTCAGCTTTTCCTCATAGGACTCAGCTCCAGTCACTACCATAGAAGCCCCTGCGCAGGCTGCTGTCCCGCGTCCGCTGTCTCACTTCCCCACTCCCCTGCTGGTGTCTCCCTCACTTTCCAAACAGCCTCCTTGCACTTGAATCCTTGCCCCAGGGTCTGCTTCTGGGAAGCCAAAATGAAGACGGTTCCTGCCCACAGAGAGCTTTTATTCTATTAGAGAGAGAGACAGAGTGGCCAGGCTCACCGACGGCCCAGGCCCAGAAAGGCTTCCTCACACATGTTCTTGGTTTGTTTTTCTCTTCCTAGGACTATCCTTCCTACCCCGGCTTCCCCCAGAGCCAGTACCCGCAGTATTACGGCTCATCCTACAACCCTCCCTATGTCCCGGCCAGCAGCATCTGCCCTTCGCCCCTCTCCACGTCCACCTACGTCCTCCAGGAGGCGTCTCACAACATCCCCAACCAGAGTTCCGAGTCACTCGCCGGTAAGTGCAGTCACTGTGGCGGGCCATTCGTGGCTGTGGTCTGAGAGCTTCTGTGAAGGAGGGACCCAGACATGGGTCCCAATTGTGACAAACAGGTTATCCAAGGGTCATACATGGATGTGGTCTGAGAGCTTCTATTAAAGAAGGACCCAGACATGGGTCCCAGTTGTAACAAACAGGCCACCTAAGGGTTAAATCCATCTCTCAGACATGTTTTGTTGGCCTTTCTGTTTGTGCATGTGTTTAATTGCATTTATGTTTAAAAGTCAGAAAATTTTATTAATACCTAAAAATTCTAATCTCTGGCTTCTCTTGAAAGAGGATCCATAGTAGCCACATTCCCAAGGAACACCACTTGATTAAAACTAAGTGTGTCTGCTGTTTTCAGAAAGGACTCACCCAATTCCACATCTAGCCAGCTCACCCCATGTTCATTACTGCCTGGTCCATGTAGGCCTTGGAGTTGATGCGCCCTGGTGGTATTTATAATATTCCTGGCCGGGCACAGTGGCTCATGCCTATAATCCCAGCACTTTGGGAGGCTGGGGCAGGGGATCATCTGAGGTCAGGAGTTCGACACTAGTCTGGCCACATGGTAAAACCCTGCTTTTACTAAAAATAGAAGCCTGGGCATGGTGGCTGACACCCGTAATCCCAGCGCTTTGGGTGGCCAAGGCAGATGGATCATCTGAGGTCAGAAGTTTGAGACCAGCCTGGCCAACATGGTGAAACCCTGTCTCTACTAAAAATACAAAAATTAGCCTGAGTGGTGGTGGGCACCTGTAATCCCAGCTACTAGGGAGGCTAAGCCAGGAAAATCATTTGAACCCAAAAGTCGGAGGTTGCAGTGAGCTGAGATCACGCCATTGCACTCCAGCCTGGGTGACGAGTGAAATTCCAGCTCAAAAAATAAATAAATACACACATCCATGTGTCTTTATGGTAGAAAAATTTATTTTCCTTCGGATATGTACCCAGTAATGGGATTGCTGGGTCTAATGGTAGTTTTATGTTAAGTTCCCTGAGAAATCTTCAGGCTGCTTTCCACAGTGGCTGTACTAATGGACATTCCCATGAACAATGTATAAGCATTCCCTTTTCTTTGTAACTTTGCCAGCATCTGTTATTTTTTGACTTATTAGTAATAGCCATTCTGATCAGGTGTGAGATGGTATATTATTGTGGTTTTGATTTGCATTTCCCTAATGACTAGTGATGTTATTTTTTCAAATGCTTGTTGGCCACATGTATGTCTTCTTTTGAGAAGTGTCTGTTCATGTCCTTTGCCCATTTTTTAATGGGGATGTCTTTAAGGATATTCATTTCTGATGGCACAATAGTTTTAGGAAACCCTGTTTATTAGCCAGGACTTTTTTGCTTCAAAAGATATAAGAAATCCAATTCAAATTAGTTTAAACAAAAAAAAAAAAAGAAGAATTTTAGGCATATGTAATCAAGATGTTACAAGGGTTTAGGGCTGCGTCCAGCTGTTCCAATGATAATGTTGGGACTTAGTCTCTCTCTCTTCCTTCTGGCTCTGAATTTTCCTGGGTTTATTTCATTCTCAGGCATGCTCCTCCCCTATGGTAACAAAGATGGCCACCACCTACCCAGAGCTTAATCCTGTTTGCTAATCCACCTCAGCAAACCGAGTTCCTCCTTCTTAGCCATTTCTGCAAAAGTCCCAAGTAAAGCTTAGGTCTCATGCTCATCCCCAAACCAGTCTCTGTGGTCAGTGGAATGGAATGCTAGGATGAGGCAGCAGACTTTGGGCTCATGCCTATGGCTGGAGCTAGAGTTGGGATCCACCTCGCCTCAACTAGCAGAGACCGAGAGTGAGGAAGAGGTGATCACCTCAAAAAAACCCAGATCACTGTAACTACAAGAAGACAGGAGAGACACTGGGTGAACAAAAACAATATATATCCACAACCTTTATATGGATCCCACCTACACTATGAGCATCACGTGGCAGAGTCCATGCCTGTTCCCCTTTCTGGTCACAGAACTTGGTATGTAATATCCCCATGCAACTGATGCACCAGCCTATGGATTCATTCATTCATTCCACAGATCTGCTGTGCACGTCTTCTCTTTTACGAGATGGTTTTGGCTTATCAACGTTAAATAACATGGCAGCAATACATTAGAATGTCAGTAGATACCACTGAGTTTTTTTCTTTTGTCTTCTTTTCTGAAACCTACTGAGTTTCAGAAAAAAGGGCTTTGCAGAAGCTAAGCTAGTGGGGTGGAGATGATGTGGAGACAGTCATCAACACATTTGAATTGGTTGTTAGCAAAGGAACAATAGGGAAGACCCACCTGTTTTGTTCCTGGGGTTCTTGGTGTAGCTATTAATTTTAGCCCTTAAATTTTCAATCACAGGGAGTGAGTGAGTTATCCTTAGTTTGACAACAAATGGAGACAATACGGCAAAGCAGGTTAAATAAAGTCAACTTTTTAAAAGGTTTAGGGCTTGGGCATTGATTTTGGTATTGATCCCATCTCAGAGTATTTAATGAATGCATAGTACCTATTTAACAACATTCTTTGAAGAGTTTGAAGAGTAACAAAGTTTTTCTCTGTCGTCATCTTGAATTATCTTTGGCCGTCCTGATTTTCAGAATGTGGTTTTTCCAATCTCATTTCAACAAAGGAGAGGAAAACAAAACACTGATGAGAAATTAGGGCAGAGAGGAACTATAGCAGGAAACCATCAAGTAGATGCCACTATCCGTCTATAATTCAATGGTGAGCTGAAGGGCAAACGAAAAACCTGCTTCCCCAGAATTTGGGTTTTGTGGGAAGGTTCTCTTTATTTCCGTCAGGAGTGAACATAAAGGCTCATTGTGTCTCTTTGAAACTTTTCTGTCTTGTTTCCCCCTGTTCTTCCTTTATCCCTTGATCTAAGGTTCAACAATAAGTGGTTGAAATGGTTTTTACTGTGTGTCTAACAAGCTGACATAAAATCTAATGAGGTAAATAATGGTCAGCTGTAGCCGAGGTCTCCTGCCTCTCTTTCTAGTGTTCACTGTAATGGAAGGGAATTTAAGCATATGTGTGCTCACATGCACACACAGACACATACACTCATGCACTCTTTTTAAATTTCCCATAAAAACTCTACTTTTGAAATTATCCAGGATAACCTTGAGTGGTTGGTTCCAAACTCCAGAGGCTCAAGAGGTTTACTGACAGATCACACTCACTCTGTGTGCCGCCTGGATATAGTATTTTGGTGCTTTCCCCACTCACGTCCCCCACCCACCCGATCCCCGCCACAGGACACTCTGCATTGACATGCATTAACCTGTGTGTGAAGTGCCAACAATTTGCAGATGATTACAGGGCAATTTGCTGATATAGAGGGCAGAATCTGAACATCTCATGTTACTCAAGAGAAAAACCAAATCAGCATTGGCTGCTTACAGATATTTTTCTTTTTACTTTTTTTTTTTTTTTTTTGAGACAGATTCTCTCTCTGTCGCCCAGGCTGGAGTGCAGTGGTGGAATCTAGGCTCACTGCTAGGCAACTTCCACCTCCTGGGTTCAAGTGATTCTCCTGCCTCAGCCTCATGAGTATCTGGGACTACAAGTGCCCGCCACCACCCCAGCTAATTTTCGTATTTTTAGTAGAGATTGGCCAGACTGGTCGTGAACTCCTGACCTTCTGATCCACCCACCACAGCTTCCCAAAGTGCTGGGATTACAGGTGTGAGCCACCATGCTTGGCCTTCTTTTTATATTTTTAAGTATGATACAAATTCTCTAAAAAAAAAGTTGAAGGATTTTTTAACTTCTAAGATCAACTCCCTCTACCAATAGAAGAAGAATTTTTTTAATTTCTCAAGAAGAAATTTGGAAGGCTCTCCCATGCAATCTGGCAACATCTCACAAAATTTAAAATACATAGGCCTTTTAACCCAACTGTTCAACATCTAAGAATTTATCCTAAAGATAAATTTTGACATAGGTACAAACACAAGTAAAAAGAATATTTGTTTTTCACTCTGATTAAAAATTTATTAATACTATTATGCAAATAACTTTAGTGATAACCACAAGGATTTGTACTGTTAGTGCATTAATACATACAAAAATGCATTTTGAAACATTTGTTGTATCCCCTTTATCCTTTTAAATTTCTGTTTATGTTTGTTCTGTAATATATATGATGAATCTGTGCAGTGGAAAACTTTTTGCTGATGAGTATGGTACAATCAGAAATGTTTGGAGACTGTATCAGTTTCTACTTGCTGCTATAACAAATTATTATGACCTTTGTGTCTTAAAACAACACAGTGCTTATTTTACAGTTCTGGAGGTAAGAAATGCAACATGGCTCTCACTGAATTAAATCGAGGAGTCAGTAGGATTATAGTATTGGAGGCTCCAGAGGAGAATCACTTCCTTCCCCTTCCAACTGCAGAGGCCACCCACGTTCCTTGGCTCATGACCCTGCATCACTCCAATTTCTATTTATATCACCTCATCTCCATCTCTAACGCCTGCCCCCCGTCCCTTATAAGGACTTTTGTGATTCCACTGGGCTCACCCAGAGAATCCAGGATAATCTCCCCATCTCATGGTCCTTAAGTCAGTCACATCAAGAATATTTATTTTTTTAAGAAAAATAATATTTATTGCAACAACATCATAGCAAAAGACTGAAAACAACCTGGGTACCATGCCATTAACAGGAAGCAGGGTTAAATCAATCATGGTGTATCCACCAGTGGCATACTATACAGCTGTCAAAAACAATAAGATAGATATATTTATGCTAATACTGGGTTCTCTTTAAGCTATTGTGATAGCTTAAAAAAAAAAGCAGGAGGCAGAATTACATGTGTAATATGAGCCTGAGTTTTTTAAAAGTTTAAGTATAGATTGATACCCATATTTACTCATATCCTATAAGGAATTTCTAGAAGGATGCAATAAATAAGAACTGTTAATAGTCATTTTCTCTGGAGAGGAAAACAAAATCCGGAGTGAAA